CAGAGAGAAACAGAGCATGAGTGGGGGAGGGGCAGAGAGAGAGGGAGCCACAGAATCGGAAACAGGCTCCAGGCTCTGAGCCATCAGCCCAGAGCCTGACGCGGGGCTCGAACTCACGGACCGCGAGATCGTGACCTGGCTGAAGGACGCTTAACCGACTGCGCCACCCAGGCGCCCCTCCATTTCCACTTTTAATAACCTGTTAGTTTTAGACCACATGGGACATTCAAAAGAACATAGTTCATAGTGTTTCTACTCTAAAGCAAATGTCATTATGAAATTAAATGTTCCCATGCAATGTCCAATAGATAACTGGGTTTACACAGAAAAGATATGACTTTCTAAAGTATTCTTTATCACACCGTACTAAATCATAAAGTATTTCCATAAATCATAAAAACTTAATACACCATCAAATGAAAAATAAAGAGCTTGAAAAAAATTGCTGATGCCGTAGAGCAATATTATTAAAGGCCTCCCTTAATAAAATCCCTTGGGTTATTTTATTACTTCCAATTTCATTAATTGTTGAGTGTCTTTGGTTAGATCTTGCACCTGAGGTAATTAGGTAAAGGTCACAGATTACAAATAAAACAAGCAAACGTAAATTACCTCTTAAGATTTCTTCCATCTGTATTGGGAGTGTATTTCTAGAGCTTAATTCCAACACAGGTATTTTGAAGAGAAATGAGAGAAGTCCAAACCATCGTCACCCTTAAACGGGCTAAGTGAACAGAACAATACACCTTGAAAATATTTCAAAACAAGTGGCTGGTTTGAGCTACATAACTGGTAAAGCAAAAGGAAAACTATGGCCATAAGGTTTAGTGTGACTGAATCTTAAACTTGAATTCTATAATTCTCAGCTGAATGTGTTGGAATACTAAGGACAATACATCTTAGTAAAACTGAATCCAAACACTTTTGGTCTGCTCTTAAAGATTGAAGGAGTTACATCACTATAAACTGTTAAATCTATAAATTTGATAGAAGAGAGAAAGGATTAACTTTTTGGAGGAAAATCAGATTTTAAATTGTCTACCAATGATTCTGTAAATTCTATAAATACTGTAGTCAACATTATTTTTGCCTCTCAACTACAACTCACAAAGGAGTTGGAATCTTCATGCATGGAATAAGGAAATTCAATGTGAAAGAGAGAGCATCCAGAAACAACTAGTCAGCCCTAGGTTCAAAGAAAATTTTTTTTTCAGATGTTTGGAATCACTCATTTCTCTTGAAGGAAGCAGAGGATGAAAATCTCTTGCAATTTATTTTTTTCTTATCTTTAGTTGTCCACAGTAAATAGCCATCCAAACCAAGATTTGGCTGAGGGAATGTAAGTGTTTAGAATAATACTCATGAAAAAGTCTTACAGAGCTCTATAGTAACAAATACATTTTTCTCTCCTCCCTTCCTCCCCCCTCCTGCCTATCAAGTTTTTGTTTCTCCTAAAAGATGACTTTCCTCTGAACAGGCAATTTCATCGGACTTTATTTCATCAGACTATCATCCAAGACTAAACCTGGACATGAATTAAGTGAAAGTGTAAATATTCTTTCAAATATATTTATATGTAAGAAAATATCTTGTTCTTCTGAACACTTTCTTGAGATCATGTTTCAAGTATGGAAAAACTGATGCTTCTGGCATCACAGTGGGGCTCAGGTGTGGTGTTGAGCTGCTTGATG